ATTCGGCTGTTGATACTTGTGCACGCTTCACGAAGTTCTCGTGTTGCGTTTTTCAGCTCCATCAATTCACTTATATTCCTTTCTATTTTGTCCGTCATTTTTTAAATTAAAAAAAATTTCTAAGTCTTTCCTAAGTCCTTGTCACTCATTTCTGACTTCCTCTAATTCTGATTTACATTGTTGTTGATTCATGTCTTTTTCTGTTTTGTGAGCACATCTTTCCAGCACATTTTCATTGGAGTGATATTATTCTGCTTGTTCCCTTTTTTCTCACAATAATTTTTATGAGATTTGACCCTGCTATTTTTCTTCTGGTCATTTTTATATGAAATTATTTCCCCTGAATTTTACAAGTGAAGCAGAGTTCAGGAAATTGTTGTTCGCTTTGCAGAGATCATGTTATTTCTTTGTAGAGTGCCACACTATTATGGGCTTTCCTCCCTCTCTGCCTTGTGTTGCTCCAGATCTTTTCTTTCCCTCATCCTTGTTCTTCCTATCCTTGATTCACTCCCAGCAGTTTTTCTTCTTTGTTGGGCCCTGACCTGGGTGAGGGCCCTGGTGGGTCAGTTTGGGGAGTTCTAGAGGTTGGCTTGCTCCAGCCCCTCCAGGCCTTCTTACTGTGTACCCCCTGCACCCTCTCAGCATTGGAGAGCAGGAAACCTTCACCGATTCAGCTGCTGGTCTCCAGCTGGCCCCTTGTGCTTTCCTGTGAATACCTATTGGCTATTCTGGGGTCTCCTGTTCTCAGGTCTGTCAGGAGCCCCGTTGCTTCCTTCTTCCTTCACACATTTGCTGAAACCATGCAGAGTTACTGGTAGATTTTGCCCACCTGCTTGTACTTTAGGGGTCATGAGGGTATCTTGTTATCTAATTTTGTTGTAAATGTCCATGGGCTTTTGGTTTTGTTGTGTAGTTGCTGTCTGTTTTTGTGTACAGATTCAGAGAGTCTCCTGCTTCTGCTGTTAGCACCCTCTGCCCAGAATCTGTGGTGATTTTAAGAGTTAGCATTGCCTTCACAAGTGTCTGGCTTATTCCCCAAAAACTATATGAAAGAAGCTGAGATATAATCTAGGATATTTTGCTATAGAAATCTTAATTGCTTTGTTTGATTTATATATAAATCAGGTTTTGTGGCTATTAGTATTCTTATTTAAAAGTTTGTTATGATATATATTTTGGTATCATTGTAAATAAGTGTTGAATTATCCCTTCAGTTTGTGTGCTACAGTTAGATTTTAGGTTTAGGAATTATTGTATAAACTATTTTTAAATAATCAGCTCAGGGTTTTCTGGGGTTTTTTGTTTGTTTTTTTGTTTTTTAATGTGAATGTGTCAATAGTTAGTTTAGAACTAATGCTGTTTTGAATCATGGATAAAATGTGTCATCAAAATTAAACATCTGAGGAAATTTTCTGCCGTGAAGGTTTTGAAACTATATGCTGTGTATATTACCTGGCATCTTGAAATTTAAGGAGAATGTTAAACAAGTTACTGTCTCTTCATATTATTTAACAACGTCTTATGTTTGCATGATTGGCAATTTCTGGTTGAAGAGGTTCGGGACTGAAACAACACAAATGCTGAAGGTCATACCTCAGGTTCATTGCCAGAGCTGTTGGAGGGAGCTCTTACAGGCTTCAATTCTAGCCTTCTCTTTTATGATCACAATTCAAAAATGAATTATAGGTGCCTAGAAGCAAAGCAATAAAAATTGTAGCCATTTTTTAAACCTCTTTCAGATAAAAGCTATGAGTTAATTTTTCTCATTTCCTAAAAAGCTCTCATCTTGACATTCTCTGGGCATATGTACAAAAAAGACAAAATACGAACAATAAAACTGAGCAAAGCCAATCAAACTAAACTCCCTGGTCATAAACCCCATACTCCCTTTCCATCACTGACAGATAAGGTTAGCTTCATTCTTTAAATTAGTGAGCAACTTTTTTAAAAATTAACAATGAAAACAAATTCATAGAGGGGACCCTCCTCAACCATGACTTTTCTCTTACTAAAACCTCCATTTCAAGTTTAAATCTAAAGATTGTTACCTACTATCTAGTTTCATCTCACATTGATGAGAAGGAAAAGTCATTTCCAAGGTAACCTAGACCAACATATTTGAACTCTTTCCCATTTTTTTCCTAAAGAATATTGTGATGTTGATGTTTCTCGAATATTAAAAATAAGAATAATGTGTTTTTATGGAAACATATTGCTTTATACTGATAGATCACTTAATAAACCTCAATTACCTCCTAGATGGTGTTCGGGGAGTGGCTTATATTCACTCCAACCAGAATGTGATTGGATCGAGCAAAGCTGAAAATCACATGAGCCGATGGGCGGCACATGATGTATTTGAGTTGAAGCAGTTTTCCCAGCTGCCTGCTAACATAGCTGTTTGCACTTCTAAGGTAAGAAGAATATAAGGTAGTATCCTCTTAGTTATCTCATTTTTTACAGAATTTACTCAATAGCATCTTCTCTAAGTACTCCCTCAAAAGTAGCTACTAAAACTGTAAGTGACATACAAATAAGTGTAAAAATCAAAACACCATTTGGGAACTGTAGTCATTGAAGATGTTTCAGATTAAACAACAAATTTATACCCAAATGCCTAATAATGTTGAGTTGCTTAATGGTTTCCCTCAATAAAAATTGGACAGTACCCCCAAACTGAAAAGGAATCTGAAGGAGTCATATAGTTCAATCAGAACCAAAACCATTTCTGATCATGTGGAAAAAGGAAAGTGTGTGGTTAGATTGCTCCACAATTTTTCACCAAAATGACACACACAGAAAACTCATTTCATGTAGAATTTATATTTTTAGCAAAAGGATTTTTATACTGTTAAAAGTCATAAATACTCCCTGTGGGCTTTTCTCACTTAAAATTGCTGTTGTGATATTTTTGTTTGTACATAGTCACTTTCATCACAGGTTTTTTAAAAATAGTTTCTTCTGTTTGACTCATTATTCTTTATTATTTTTTAAGAGCTAAGTGTCTCAAGAGCAATTTCACTATCACTTTATGGGTGAGAGCTCAAAATACATATTGTATATAATACCAATATTTTATGTCAACTTAGTGCTATTATACTTTTAGTAATGAAGGTGGGGGTAGAATTCCTCTGAACTATCAAGGGAATTAATTTATTTGTACCTCACTTGTTTGACAAAGGAATTAAATTACCTTAACAATAAAACCAGAGTACAAAATAAAATTCAGGACCAGAGAAAATATAAATTAAACTGGAAGTTTAAGATTGGGAGAAAGTTAGACTGCAACTGCTTAGGACATAATACATTCTACCCAGATACTGTATTAAAATGGCTAATTTGATTGAGTTTTCTGGTAGAAAAAACAAAGAAGGTAAGCCATCTATGTAGTCAACTAATGCATGTGGAAATGTGTGTGGACAGTTTGGGTGGTCACAGTGACTGAATGCCTAACTGGCATTCATGTCTGGAAGCCAGGGATTCCACATGTCTGTCCTGGAGAGGGGACTAGGTTGAGGGGGCTAGTAGAGAGGCACTCCTGCATGCAAAGAATTGTTCTGCCCAAAATGCTGTAACACCGTGCTGAGAAAGGCTGAGTAAAATCTTTATCCTTAAGGAAAAAAAAATATATAACATGGGTTCTAGGAGAAGGAAAGCTTTTCCTAGCACTTCATTTGAAGGAAATTTGTCTCTTGGGGGTTTTTTGGGACCACAGAACGACATAGTGAACAGTCAGATGTCATATAATAATATCCTTAGAATAAATGTAATAACAGACTTTAAAAGGCTATACTTTCCAGTATTTTTCAATGTCATCCATAGGCCCAATGCCAGACTACAACTCGTGAAAGCATTCTTTCATGACCCAAGTATGCTGCTTTTTATACTTGTCTTCTCATTTGATCCAGGAATGTACCATTTCTCAACCAACACTTTAAACAGCATTTCTACAGTTTGACTACCGTATATGTGCCATCTGAAAAAGGCAGGCAGAATTATGTTAGGTTTTCCAGAAACTTGCTTTGTTAGGATAAAGGGTATATCAGAATCTTTTAAACAGATAGCTAATTTTTTGTTAGGTTTCTTTTTCAAGCTGTGCCCTTTTTTAAAACCTCCATACAAACAAATTTTAATGTGAAAGGTCAGATAATTTGGCAAACCCCTGTAGTGGACATTAATGAAATAATTGGATACTGGTCATTAGCTTGTCTAAATATTTATCAGAGAAGAAATTTACAAGCATATAATTTCTGCAAAAATTGACCTGAGAAGCAACCTTCTTCTTAAGGAAAGTTATACAAATGAAAATGCCAGAAACATAGTTTGCCTGTGAGCTTTTTCAGTCCAAATATTTTTGAGGTGGACAACACAATCTCATTAGAAACCTTGTCTCTTCACAGTGATTTTCAGAGGAAGGGGCATCTCTTGCTAGGAAACAAATCGGAATACTACTCCCTGGGGGTTGTAATATACCCTTCGAGGCCGTATATATCCCTCATCACACATACCCCAACTTAGTAACCCTTTTCAGAGAAGAAAGAAATTAGCTGTTTAATGACTAAATTGTGGTGAAGTTTTAAAGCCACTAAATGGGAGGTCCATTCCCATGGCACCAATGCTAGCAGGCCAAACACAGTCTACAGATAACGCTTATTTCACTGGCTGACTTAAGTCAGTAGTTGATACAACAAAATTTCATTCTAACGTTTCAAAGCTGTCTCATAGAATTTCTGAGAAAAAGTGTTCCCAATCACCGATTTCACCCTATCGTGTCAATATTACATCAGCACCTTGAATGAGGAAATCATTGAAACATACCGTCATCTTTGGCTAGAGATATTTATGTCACTCACTGAGAGGTTTTGCAGCTGGTGTTGCAGTGGGTGGCAATAGTGAATTTGCAGTTTTGAAAAAAAGTTACTAGAAGAAAAGAGAATAAACAAAGGGAAATGAAGCAAGAACAAAAGAGACTCAATCATAGTGTTAGAAAATACCTGCAAACTTCTTGATCCTGAAGTCTCCAAAAAACCCCAGACCTCCCACCAACAGTACAGTGTCTTTCATCTGGGGCTCAATCTAGAATCTTTTCGGTTACTGAGAATTCTTCTGAGTGCTTCAAGTCTGTCATCAAAGTTTATTAAAGAACTTTACTTGTGTTTGAAAAGATTGTGTGTGCATGCCTGTGTGTCAGTTGCAGACATGTTGTCTCAGCAAGAAAATAAATCCTATTTGTTCATGAAATCAGTACACAAATAACAGTGGTCAAAGTATTTCAGTTTCTAAGGAATACCATAGTTGAGTCTGAATTAGAACCTTTAACTAGATTGCAAAGGAATATACCAAATGGAAAATTGTAAAAGAGAAGTAATAAACTCCATAGTGATAAGATTCTGTGGACTTTCAGAGTTTTTCAGTCTTTTTGATGTCTGGTAATTATCGATGACCAAAATGACAAAAACTGTGAATCTACTTTTCAAGTTCAATCATATATCTTAAAAAGGAATAAGATACATTACTGTTTTCAGTGTTTCCTTTGGTTTCTTATAGTTTATACTTCTATAAACTAGCTTTTATTTATGTTCTGTATTTTATAGATGTCCTGTCTCTTCTAACATAAATTTTGAATTATACCATTGTTATTTGATAATACAAATTATGTAAAGTAATGTGCAAAGTAAGAACACATTTTGTCTAAAATTATATTTTGATATTTTAGAACCATTTCTGAAAAACAGCTCATTTTACAAGATGAGATGTCTGATAACAGGAGAGAAAACCTGTGTGACTTAGGTTTAAACTCAGTCCAAAAAGAAACATTTTAAGCATTTGAAGGAACTGATAATACCTTTATTAGAGTTCGTCTGTTCTTTTAATATATGGATGTATGTCACGGAGCTGAACTGTACCTGTTTGTGATGTGATACCTCCTTTTCTCAGTCAACTGCACGTATTCAACTTAAGTTTACTTAAAATTTTCTGAAAAGAAATGTACAAAGACAGCCTTCCATTAAGGATTAATCACTATGGCAACTGAGATGTGGTGACTGAAGGGGGAGGATGTATTCTCCCCTCAGTTTCCTGCCAGCTGTCATAGTCAACCTCTGCTGCCTGAATCCAAGCCAAAATGTAGACTGTGACCAACTCTAAGAAACTATATCTGTATTTTTATAAATTGGTACAAGTATCAGACTATAAAAGAAGACTTAATCCCTTGAATTGGATGACAGACACTTGGCACTCTTGCCAGTGTTTGACAGAGAAATAACGGGTCGCTTTGTAGTAAAACGTGGATTAATAGAAAGCCCCTCTTTATGTTATTGCAGTGTGGTGTAAATGAGAGAACTAAGCATGCTGTCAGCCTGGGGTGGGAGGTGGCGTGGGGGAGTATCTTTATATAACCAGTGCAGGTTTAAGCACTGTTCAGAATACTGTAAATACAAAATATTGTGTTAGTAAGAACTTCTCTTTCTTGTATTTGTATTAGATTGGCATTCTGTAGATTACTTAAAGAAAGGATTTCTGTGAGCTATGGTGGGTTTGATTGCAGTATGTTTATACAGCTTTTGGAGTCCGCAAGGAGGGATGGACTGTTTACAGTGAGCAGACTTTGGGGAGATAGAGCATTCCATTATCCTGTTTTTCAGGATAATGAATGGCATGATGATTTAAAGTAATTGTTCACAAATGGCTGGTTTACAAAGTAGTCCGGTAAGCAAGGTTTATGGTTTCAGCATGTAACTCTCACTGGGTGGGATTTTTCATGGTCTTACCGTTTTTCTTTCTGTAGCTAAACATTAATTTTATGGCATTTGTATCAGAAAGTTATTCTTTCAAGTAATTTTAGTGGAGATCAAGATTTTAAAATGTGTGTGTGTGTGTGTGTGTGTATATATATGTGTATATATATATATATATATATATATGAAATTATGTGACTGGTATTGACATGAAAAAGGCTTTTGTGTTTCTCTGTCTAGAACTAGGATTGGTTGTAGATAGCATTTTGATTCAGAAGATAATATGTCATTTGAATGGAAAATACCTGCTAGTCAGAGGAAGGAGAATTCACTTTTTAAACTATAAACATAGAGACCTTCTCCCCAGCTAGCTGGAGGCTACGAGAAGCTGTGGCACCTTTCCGCAGTCATGATACCAGGATTCATGGACTAGTGTAACTGATGAGCTGTTGTGTGCAAAACACGTTCAACACCTTGCAAGAAAGGCATTGAAATTACTCAAAAATATAAATCTTTATTATTGTAATTATGATTCTTGCTTACCAATGGGGTAATGAGTAAAACTCTTGAGTCTCTACAATAACCTCTTACTATTTTTGTTGTGAATATTACTAATAATAGAATATTTTAGACTACCTTAAAAAGATACCTAGTCCAGTCCTTTAATTTTAGGTGAA